TTTGGGTGTTTACGAGAAAAGTTGAGTTTTAGGCCTAATGGGTCGTGAGAGGGGTTTTTTTGTCAAAGCAATCTTTTTACGGAAATTTAACAGTTCCATTGAGTCCGGAATGTCGAATTTAGTGGTGTAGCATATTTGATTTATTTTTATCGGGTCCTGACTGAATCCCGGGGATCCCTTTCGACACTTTGAAAAAAAATAGAAAAAAATTGATATCTGGTGCAGACTTTTACCTACCTGAAAATGTCATTTTTAGCGACCAGAAGTCCGTTTAGTGACCAGATTTGCCATTATTTATAGTCGAAAATCAGCATTCAACCCTCATTTTCTAAACGCGATTTTTCTCTCATTATAGCTCCGTTTTGGGTGATTCAAAGGCTTGGTTTTTCGAAATTGGTGTGGCTACGCATTGGAGTTCCCGGGACTGTCGAGGGACCTCTGTTTGAGGTAATTTTCGAGTTTTAGTTGTTGTCCTCTCTCCTTCTTTATCTTTAATAGTGATTTAAATGCATGGGCTGATTTTGGGCTGTTTCGAGCCCCGAATTGTGTTTCGTTTAGGACAGAAGCTCGGAGAAGTAAAACAAACCTTTTCACTAAGTCGATTTTGGGATTCCCGATGAGGGTCCCACAATCTCGTTTTAGACTCGATTTTAGGTATGTCTCTGAAAAATGCGATTTTGGTGTCAAAACAACCGTATTAACGTTGTGATTCTTTCGATAGTATGGCAACGTTCCGAGGCCATATGAAAGAGAAAGCTCTGGAAACGTGATTTGGAGCGCGCGTGGTCGGCCTATAGGTAGACTACGGCTTCCCTCTCCTTAGAATGAGCATGATTAAGTAATTGTATGTTGATTTGTATGAATTTGGGGTTGAATTAGTGGTTAATCATGTTAAATTCCTAGAATCCATGCCTTAGGCTACTTTTCGGGTATTCTGGGCAGTTGAAGCATGTCTATTGTATTTGTTGATCCTATTCACCTTGTGGTGCGCCTTATTTGTGATTTGTGTATATTGTTGGAGCATGTTTGGAATTAAGTCTAGGCTGAGGCTAGTGATTTCCATAGACTTGCATCCTTTTGGAACCGTTAGGCCTTGCAATCTCCCTAACGTCATTTTAGACGGCTTAGCTCCCTGTAGACTGATGTAGCAGAGTCTAATAGTTTGGGATACGGGTTGGCTTGCCTACTGGTGGATTATAGTAGACGTCATCATGACTCGAGAAATCGTGTCGTGACAAGTTGGTATCATAGCCCAGGTTCACCAAACTCACTTGTACAAAGCTAACGTCTTGTAGAGTACTGCGGATTGGTGCGTAGATGTCTGTGACTAATCTTTGGGAGGCTACAAGATGTCGTTAGAAAAATTTCCTATTTTGTATCCTTTTCTTGCATTATATGTCTAATTGGTTACATGGGATCTTACTTGTTTCACTCTTTCACAGGACGGCTCGTACTCGCGGTAGAGCGGCAAGGGTTAATGCATTCAGGTTTACCTAATATTTCTTGATATGGTAGATTTTGATATGATTCTGGGCATGGACTGTTCATCCCCTCACCCGCGGTAGAGCAGCTAGGATTGATGCATTTTGATTGTTACGCCAAGACCATTCCATGCCTGGCATTCCTGCGGTGTTGTGGCAAGGTTCCTATAGCCGCGCACTGACGAGTATTATCTCTTTCATGCGGGCTCAGCGGTTGGTTGCTTCAGGTTGTCTAGCCTATTTGGCCTACGTGCGAGATGTTAGTAGGGAGAGCCCTTCAGTTGATTCGGTTCCAATGGTTAGGGAGTTTGAGGATGTATTTCCCACAAACGTGTCTGGCCTCCCTCTATAGCGTGATATTGATTTTGCTATATACTTAGAGCCAGGTACCCGTCCTATTTCTATTTCACCTTATTGGATGACACCTATAGAGCTCAAGAAGCTCACTGTTCAGCTTGAGGACCTCGTAGGTAAGGGGTACATTCATCCTAACTTCGTCAGGTTAGCGAGTTACTACAAACGTTTTGTTGAGGGCTTCTCCACTATTGAAGTACCTTTGACTCGAATGACTTGCCAGGATATCCCTTTTGTGTGGTCAGAGGAGTGTGGGTTGAGCATTCGAAGTTGCTTACCATCGCTCCCATTTTGACTCTACCAATTGAGGGAGAGGGCTTCACAATATATTATGACGCACTCGGCGATGATTTGGTTGTGTATTGATGCAGCAAGGTCGGGTCACAGCTTTTGCGTCGAGGTAGCTTATGTTGCATGAGCGCAACTACCCCACCCATGACTTGGAGTTGGCGGTGGTAGTATTAGCACTTAAGATATAGAGGCACTATCTATACGGAGTTTGTTGTGCGATCTACCCCGATCACATGAGCCTTCAGTACATTCTGAGCCAGAGGGATCTTAAATCGAGGCAGTGCCGTTGGATTGAGTTCCTCAAGGACTATGATCTCTCTATTCCCTACCATTCGGGCAAGACGAATGTAGTAGCGGACGCCTTGAGGCGAAAGGCAGTGAGTGTGGGTAGTCTAGCCTTCCTTTCAGTTCCGGAGCGACATTCGGTCTTGGACATCTAGTTCTTAGCCAACCAAATGATTCAACTTGATATTCAGATTCCAGACGAGTATTAGCCTTTGTGGCAGTTCAATCATCTTTGCTAGATCGGGTTCGTGGTCATCAGTTTGAGGATGAGTCTTTAGCAACAATCAGAGATAGGGTAGTGGCAAGTGATGTTGGGCCGGCTACCTTAGATTCAGCTGATTCTTAGCGAGGACCATGATTCTAGATATTCCATCCATCCGGGCGCAACTAAGATGTATCGTGACTTGAGGCAGCATTGCTGGTGGAGCTGTAAGAATAGAGACATCTCAGAATATGTGTATCGATGTTTGAGTTGCCAGCAGGTGAAGGCCAAGCACTTGAGGCTAGGTGGTGAGTTTCTGTGGAAGTGGGAGCGTATCACCATGGAATTCGTTGTGGGTTTGCCTCGTACGTCTAGAGATGTTGACAACATTTGGGTCATCATGTTTCGATGGACCAAGTCAGCACACTTTCTTCCCGTTCATACTTCCTTCAGTGCCGAGAGATTGGGTCGTATCTATATTCGACAGGTGGTTCGTCTTCATGGTGTGCCTGTTTCTATCATTTCAGATCGGGGTTCACAATTCACTTTCGATTTTTGGAGGGCTTTTCAGGAGGAGTTGGGCACCCGTGTCGACCTTAGCAAAACATTTCACCCGCAGTCTAATGGTCCATCGGAGCGCACTATTTAGGTTCTTGAGGATAGTTGCAGGCCTGTGTTAGGGATTTTGGAGGTCAGTGGGACTAGTTCTTGCCTTTAAGGGAGTTTGCGTACAACAAGATCCCCCACTCAAGTATTTAGATGGCCCTATTCGAGGCCTTATATGGTAGGGGTTGTTGCTCTTCGATTGGTTGGTTTGAGTCTATGAGCTTAGGCTGCGTGGTATATACTTGCTTCAGGACGCCTTAGATGATGTGAGGGTGATTCGGGATAGGCTTAGAATATCGTCGATCGTTGAGATTTGTTGTTGGTGACAGAACATTCCTCTGAGTTTCGCCCATAAGGGGCGTGATAGGATTTGGGAGGCGAAGCAAGCTTAGCACCAGATATATCGGGCCTTTTGAGGACAGTTGGTGTTGTTGCCTATGAATTAGCCTTGCCTCTAGCATTCTCAGCTATTCATCCAGTTTTCCATGTTTTGATGTTGCGCCGGTATATCCCATATGAGTCTCATATGCTCCAGTATGATGCGGTTGAGTTGGATGATCGTCTGACAAATATTGAGGAGCTGTAAGAATTCCTATGGCCCGTAGATCAAGTCTCGTCATCTTGAATCATAAGAAGTAGCCTAATTAGGAATGACGGTTTGGATTACAGTCCGCAGAACCTATGACTGACCGTATTGGTGAACCATCATTCCAACATCAGAAACTAAAATAGTTGACTTCCTTTCCTACGATTGGGTCCTATGACAACCAACCGCAGGACCAAAACAGTGTAATTTTTTTATTTTCTTTTGGTTTCATAGTTTGATTTTCAATCTTTTCTTGCTTTTTTTGTATATTTGGGTACTAATGACTTTTCCATAGGTACTATGCCACCATAGAATACCAACACTTATGAAAGAAGGTCAAAATCCACCGCACCTTCGGCCAGGTTTCAAGTTATTGAAGAACGCACTAATAATGAACTCAGTGGGTCTGAATTTGACCCTAGCCTACAGGATGACTCACCAAAGGCACCGAGGACAACACACCGATAGTCGAAGAAACTAGAAATTATTCTGGTGCCAAATGAGTCCGACTCCTCCAGCCATGATTGTGCTTCTTCTCGTCTGAGGAAGGAGTACAGAGTTCGGAAGCTAAACTCCACAAATTCAACCACCTTCGGTATATACAAATGGGCTAGAAAGTTTTGATTTTTATGTGGTAATTGGTGTAAGACCACTGATCGAATAGTACCAGTGGTAGAATGAACTCAACTTGCCGACATAATTTTCAAACCAAACAGGTCAGGTTACAGAGAGGGAGGGTCATCATTGAATGAGTAGTGTCACTATGAAAGCGTTAAAGCCATAATTATAAAATAACAAAGAAAGAAAAAAATAACCTGAATAGATGACTATTATGGCTAACTGGTGCACCTTCTATGTGGTTTGGCCAGTGGAGACATTTCAATAGAATAGTCCAAGACAATAGTCGGTTGTAGAAGCTTTGGTTTTACTACCATCTCAAAGACCTGAAAATGGTAACATCACAAAGCAGTACACATAAAAAGAACCATTTTAACCAATAAGATACACTGGCATGTGGTTAATAGCTGCTAGTTCTAAGTAACTGCAGATGGGAACAAAAAAATTTCGAAAGAAGATTATTCAAACCACATTAAGCAAATGGCCAACAGAAGAGCATGCTTCAATTGAACTCTTATCCAGATCATCACCAAGAATATCAATTGCTTTATGTCATGTTCTTTAGCAGCTCGTCGTAGAAGATTATGCATTGTTTCCCTCCTCCAAGGTCTTTCCAAGCAGATCTCCACACCCTGCAACAAAGCATAAAGTTTGATTCCTTCAATTAAAGTTAAGGTGAGAGAAGAAAGAAAATGAAATACCAAAAGTGGGACCAAAAACCTATTAACCATACAACTCATAATAATTTACTGAAAAGTTAGTTCAAGTCATTATGTGTAAATCTGACCATGTTTCAAAATCAGTGCAGAAACATTTCACATTCTCCAAGAAAACATATGCAGCATATGAAAAGGCTTGAACTAGGATCTCTGGAAAAGATAAAATAAGACGAGTTGGTTTGCATCAACTCAAGGAAATAGGTCAGGTATCCGAATAGTAACTAAAAATGTTTAGCTGGAAATTTTTGGGCCAACGTTGTTCAACCATTCAAAATTATTTTGTTATGATGAGATAATATTTGGTCACGAGAAACAAGATGGTTGAGTAAAGAAGATGCTAGCACCTAAGGAAGCTCCCTATAAATGGAAATTGAAAAGGTCCAAAAAAAAATAACATAATGCCATTGACAAAGATGAAGTTCACATGATTCCTCATATCACTCATGGTCCATTCTCGTAGCCAGATAAAGAAAGAACTAGGTTGTCTTCTAAGGGAACTTAAAAGAACAATCAAAGCCAGAAGCCACAAGTTCAATCAATTATCAGTATGATGCCTTCAATATAAGAATGATTGCCACACGTATTCCTGTAAGTTACTTGTATCATGTTTGACAGAGAAGATACATGAAAATGCAACGAATGATCACCAATTACAAACACTATTGAGGAAGATTATCCAGAGGAAAGGGTACTTACCTGGTAATCAATTCTAAATTTCCCATTAACTGCAAGGGCACATCGTGTCACAATCTCTTCTGCCATATTCATCATGCTTTCATAGTCAGAGTATGCTTCATACATCTAAAATCAATTTAAAAACTATTATTGACAAAGAGTTATTACCTCAATGGAGGTGAATTCAGAATTATTACGAGTTGAAATGCCTTCATTGTGGAAGATACGGCCAATTTCATAAACTTTGTGGATTCCCCCAACCTACAGTTACACAAGATATATGATGGACTGTTACAAAGAAGCAGAAGAAGCACTGCTCTTCTAACAATAGTTTGAGAAAGTACAACAGAAAGTAGGGGTTATCCTTCGAAAGGATAACTTTATTAGGCTTCAAAGCGATTTCATATTTTTGAGATATGGCTCATAGTGGAAATGAATCTAGTATTGTAGATGTGTAGTTATAACTATCAAGCAGTAAGTAAAATTTAATTTATCTTTTTCTATTAGCACTCAACAACTTGTGTTTCTCTTTTTTTTGTTGAGTTGAGTTTACTTTCTATCATTTATCAAAAGAGCTCCATTTTCTCTCAGGCAAATTTATAGTTTGGATGTTATAGTGAACTGAAAACTAGAATCCACACAAGGTCCAAATGCCAACTTTCTTCCGATCGAGTTGGACTGTAGTGCTGTCTGCTGATTCTTATTTAGTGTCTAATTGATGTTTTATATTAAGTTTGTGTTTCTTGTCTAATTAGTGCTTCTGTTCAGTGAGTTTTTGTGCTTATGTTCAATTATACTTGGATCTTGTGATGGGTTGTTGTTGGTATCAATTGTTGATCATGAGGTTGTGTAATCTATGTTGCTCGGACTTTTCAAAAATGTCACTTTTGTGTCACATCCTTTAAAAGTAGCGCATTTCAGAAAGCACGGGTGCGACAACATTTCTAGAGAGTCCGAGCTACTTATGATTATGTTACAGAAGAATTAGCATTGTTCGGTTGACCTGAAGAAATGCAAGAATGGATGTTTGTGTGGACAAAATCTGAGTACATTTAGAAGTGTGTTGAATTATTTTGGGTTATCCTTGGCATGGATGGACAAACAGATCATGTTATTTTCATTTCTTAATTCAAATATGTCTATTCATCAGTTTTACATGTCTTAGATGTGTCTTTTTTATTTCCAGTAGCTACACCAAAACAGAGCATCACAAATGCTAAAGTGAAGAGCCATGGACAATTGCAATATTCTTTACCAATGATGATTTTAAAGGGCATAAAGAAGCTACCAGTGGATATTTACAGGGAAATAACTCCACTGGTGGTGACTCTGAAGAAGAAAAAAGTAACGAATCTGAACTCTCTAATAATTATGGAAGTGATGTTCATGCAGAACTTAGGGTGGTGAGAGAAGATCTAAGGGGAAATAATAAAACAGAAAAAGTTAAGGCTCCTGCTAGGGAGAAACCGGATGGATTTCTTGGTGAAGTTGGGTTAGATGAAGGCTATGAAGATATTGATAACGAAAGAACAAATTTGAGGTACCATTCGGGAGGTGATGATGATGAGCCATATTATGACTCATGAAATGTAGATACTTTTGCAAGTGAATTTGAAGGTGAGCATGTTCGTGATGATGGATAAGGAGGAGGGCAGTTGAGGGATAGGAAAAAGCGTAGCAGGGTAATCTATCGTCCAGATTGTGAGAAAGTCATCTGGCAGGTTGGTCAAGCCTTTAAAAATGTTAATAAATATAGAGAATATTTGAACAATTATGCATTAAAGAAAGGACTCCAGCAAGAAAATGAGAAGAATGATCAAAAACGGGTAAGGGCCAAGTGTAGGAAGTGTATAGGTCTTGATGGTTGTTTTCAGTATGTAAAGGGCATTATTTGTAGCAGTTGCTAAAGATTGAATCAATCAAATGTTTCCAATAGCTTGGGCTGTTACTGAAATAGAAAAAAAGGAAACATGGAGATGGTTTACGAGGATCTTGCAAGATGACTTCCAACTTGGAAATGGGGATCAAACTACTCTAATCATTGATATGCAAAATGTATGATAATGTTATTTTTACTACTCTTAAACATTTACTCCTTTCTTCCCTTTTTTCTTGATTAAATTTAGCTCAATTTAACATTTTAATCAACTAGTATAAACAACAACAAGTCAAAGCATAAAATTCACTGTAGGATTAGTTACTGCTTTTTCCTAGTAGTTAGTTACTGTTTATTTTTCTAAACAGTTACCTACTATTTTTACCAATATCATATAAATTAGTAACTCTACTATTTATTTTGCTTAGTTACTACTGATTTTACATCACATACATACCATTGTTTACGATTTTTTGTAGGATTTGATTAGTGCAGCTAAGGAAGTATTTCCTGCTTGTGAGCACAGAATGTGTGCTTGACACATTCTGTTAAGCTGGTCAAAGAAATGGAAGGGTATTCAAAGAAGGAAAAAGTTCTAGAAGTGTGTTAGGGAAACATTTGAATCTAAATTGAAGGCTAGGGAAGGTGAGATAAGTAAGTTGGGTAGAAAAATTGTGGAAAATCCTATCACATATGACATTGAAAGATGGTGCAAAGTGTACTTCAAGGAGTTCTCAAATGTGATAGTGTTGATAATAAAATGGCTGAAGTTTTAATGCTTGGATATTAGCAGGCAGCTAGACATAAGACAATTGTGTCTATGCTAGAAGAAATTAGAATCAACGTGATGAATAGAATAGCTAAAATGAGGGTTTTGTTGTAGCTTGGGTAAATGGGATACCTCCAATGGCTTTGAAGGTGTATAAGGAAAATATGAAGAAGTACCATGATCAAAAGATCGAAAAGCGAGAATTTGATCCCGGTGATTTGGTACTTCTATTCAACTCAAGGCTGCGCTTGTTTCCTGGCAAGCTCAAATCAAAGAGGACGAAACCATTCAGAGTTGTACAACTATTATCACACAGAGCGGTTGAACTTGAGAATGAGGAAGGAACAAGATTCAAAGGTAGAGAGTTAAATCAAGCGCTACTTGGGAGGCAACCCAAGATATAATCTAGCTAGTTTTAATTATTATTTTTTATTCTTTTATTGACTTTTTTTGTTCTTAAGTTTGATTTTTGTCTAGAATAGGATAGTTTAGGGACCGTGTCCAAAAGGTGTCAAGAAAATGTAAAAAGGAGTCCTAAGTTTGCTACATGTGCAGGAAAGAAAGAAAAATCTGCAAAATTTCAAAGTGTAGAGGGTTTTACGGTTCCATCTATGAGTCGTTGCTCATTCAACTAACCTTATATGTCATCCGTAGAATCTAAGTCCTAACACAATAATAACTTTAAGTCTATGGATTCACAATACGAACAGCTTAAATTTTGACGGTCCGTATGTTTCCTGAATTTTTTCTAAGTGTTGAGTAGAACGACGGAGGCCTTCGACAATTCGAAGGAATGATTACGGACCGTAGAAGGTTTTTCGCCAAACCTGTCTGTTTAAATTTAATGACCCGACCCGCGACCCTTTTTAATGAAAACATCCAATTTTAAATCATCCCCTATTTCCCTCAATTCCCAACCTTTACAACCTCTGATATGTCCCACCCTTTCACACACAAACTCCATCCCTTACAATTCCAACTTCCACTATTTAATCCTTTCCTCCCATGTCTCCTTTCTCCTCTCCTTTCTTCAATTTTTCCCAAATTTCCTTTACTCATATTCAAGGCAATGCGGGACAGGGGAATTATCAAGTTGGTTTTCAAAGTTCTAGACATCTAATTGATGCACTCGCACAACTTGGAAATTCATCTAAAGGTATGGAATTAAGTCTAACTAGATTCAATTACTTGAATTCAAAGTTGCTACTTGACCTAGGGTATGTGATGCTTGTTTTGTACGCCTAAATTAATTAAAGTATACCCTTGGAAAGCAAGTAGATGCGAGTGTTGTCGATTATGTGTAAATATGTGAAACAAATTACTTCAAATTGTGTTCTTAACTTAGGGTTTGTGATGGTGCTATTTGTTATTGTGACTAATTGATAAGTGCAAGCCCTATAGATGACAGAATTACATTGAAAATTACTATGTTGAAATGCATGTTTGTGATGGAATAGGCTGATATGATGTTGAAGATGTGTTAATACAAAGTTGATCCTAAAAACTCCTAATATTAGGGTTGACGACTTGGATCTACGGGACATAGGAATTCCTACCGACTGTAGATCAAGTCCCGTCATCTTGAAGCACAAAAAGTAGCCTAAGTTTGGAATGACGGTTTGGCTTACGGTCCGTAGAACCTTTGACGAACCGTTATTCATTTCAACTTCAACAACTAAAAATGTTGACATCTTTTGGTACGGTTGGGTCATACGGCCCGTAGAAGTTCTACGATCTGTAAGAACCAACCGTAGGACCAAATAGTGAATATTTTTGCAAATTATTTTTTCGTGTTTTCTTTTGGTTTCGTAGTTTTATTTTCATTCATATCTTTGTTTGTTTTATATGTTTGGGTACTAATGACTTTTCCACAGGTACTATGCCACCAATGAATACCAAAACTTATGGACGAAGGTCAAAACCCACCGCATCGTCTGACCAACTTCAACTTATTGATTAACGAACGGATGATGAACTCAATTGGTTTGAATTTGACCCTGCCCTAGAGGATTACTCACCAAAGGCACCGAGGAAACACGCCAACTGATTTAGAAACTAGCCATTATCGTTGTGCTGAATGAGTCCGACTCCTCGAGCCATGATGGTTCTTCCTAGTCTGAGGAGGGAGCACAGAGTTCGAGAGAAGGTAGTGGGGAGTCACAGCCTGGGGCAGCTCGGGTTCACAGCATGACACACAGTCTGAGTTAGGCTGCGGCTCAAATGTGAATGGATAGAAGAGGCACCGAGCAAATATAGCGACGTGTGATCGGAAAGTGTGTGCGTATGATGCCCTATTTGAGGATGAAGAGCCAAAGTAAAGTAACCTTATTATGGAAATATTACTGCAACTTGGAGAGAACATTTAACATGGTCTCTCATTGGTGGTTTGTGACTTCCTTTAAAATTCAATTTGGTAATTTTATTTATCCAGAGGTGGAAACCAACTCTGCAAGCATAGGGCAACTATATTGGTATATTTCTCGTATAGAGTATATTCCCCCACAATATCAATAAACTATTACACCCTCCCCCACCCAAAAAAAAAACCCAATTTCCTAAAAGTTACTTTTAAGCAGTAAAGATATCAAAAAAAAATGTCTGTGATAAACTAAATCACAGATAAAACCCGTAGCTGTTAAACACAGGAAATCTCATGTTTTTACTGGAGATCTTGAAAAGAGCAATCAGAAAAACATAGACAACTCCACCGATAGATAATAATTTACCCGCAGCCTACAAAAATATGATAAGAGCAAGTGACAATAGAGCATACCTTCATCTTTTCATGAGTTTCATTAACAGTTTCACCATCCTTCTTCTTCCTCCAATGGTGACCATCTTTACGGAAATCTTGTAGTACTTTCCGATCAAATAGAAACATGGAACCACTTGAAACCGAAAATCTATATTAGTTAAAACTTTTTTTAAAAAAAGGAAAATCACTTTGGGCAGATAACGATGAACCTGGAGTTTGAGTGGGGGCTGTTGATGTAAGATGTGCTACAGCTACCACAACTTTAGAGAAAACATTGATTGACTGGGAGAGAAAAAACCACCTGGAATATTTAGTTGGCGTTCACAAAGCTTCCAGAACTTTTGAAGAATGGATTCATCTAGAGAGTACCCTAAAGCTTCTAGCTCTGTGGATGCAAAGGTTGCTTTCCTGAACAGCCACCACTGTTTTGAAATAACACAACCTAGACCAAGAAAAACAACAAACTCAACCAATCAAAAGAGAACATAGAAGGCATTAACAGGAGATAAGTGAACATAGAAGTTTGGAATAATGGTTACCATACATGCAAGTTGACTTGCACGAAGACTTTCCGGAGATTTCGTAGTCAGGAAGAACTCAAGTAGTTCAAACAAGGCACTGCGCTTGGAGATAAATGAAGATATAGATTGTTCCAGGACTGATCCAGATTTTATGATAGAGTGTAGGCAATTGCAAATATGTAGATGCATGCTAAGAAGCAGAAATCCAATAACCTGAACAGTAAGCCAAAGCAGTTGAGTATAGGCAAGACTACGAAAAAGAATTATTCAAATTACAGTATACCCATCTTGTCATCAATACATCTGAAGTTTTTGAAAGTCTCTGCAGGATCTTTATGCAAGCTTTCAATGAAAATTTGCCTTTACAATTGAAGTTCATACAACCTTTTCAAGTTAAAAAAAGCAGTGAATATTCATCATCACCATCCTGCAACAACAAAAATTGGACATTGGACCAAAACGCATCAATAAAACATAGTCCCCTTCAATTTGTTAATGGCACATACCACTTCTTTTAATGCAGATTTAAGTTTGATAACGAGCTCATCTTCAATCCCTTTAAATTTGTTAAGGGCAAAGTCCTGTAATTCCCCACAACTCACAATAGCACAGAAGTTCAGAGCTTTTACACAAGATCTCAGAGCTTCCTTTACACCATGCTTAAGGAATGCCTTTTTCTTCAGAAGGACAGTAGATGTAAAATTCTGGAAAAGCAAAGGAAAACAACTTTTAGTTAACAGTTCAAAAACAAATTACTTCATATTGGCAATCCCCTATATAGTTCATGATAGTAATAAGTTCCACACTACGCACCTGATGTTGTCTTTTAAGAGAATCGCGCTCAAGGTTCATATGAACAATGATTTCAAGTAGATAGTGAATTTTTGCTTTGTCAAACATAAATTTGTGAGGAAGTTGTGGATAATTCCTCATCATAGAAATGGTTATATCACGCTTAGAAATTTCAAACTAGTCCTGGATATTACAACATAAGCATTCAAAAAATTTAGTATCCCGGAGTAGTATGGCTGAAATCTGAAAAACACCAATATAATTTGTCATTGACAAAGAACACTAAAGAAGGAACCTATCTAAAATAATCTAAACAAATTTTGAACTTGAGGGGATACTCTATGAATTCAAAAAATCAAAACCACGGCATCTAGATACTCATTTTGCGTACAGCTTTGAATGATGTACCTACTGAGCAAACACAGTTACCGTCTATGTTCCATGGTACATGAAAATAATCTGACTGCTCACTCTATTATCAAACTCCAAGTACAATAAAATGTCTTAATGTTGTTAGAAAAATGTTAAAGATGGTAACATGATAATATACAAAAATGGCACCTCTTCCACTAAATAATATTGGTAAGTAATCTGGAAGTATTTGACCAACTGACCTGATTTAAGACAAACATACAGTTCAAAAAAAATTGCAGCACAAAGACACCGCTAAAACAGTATAGATCTACCAGGTTGCAGAAATATTACCAACTTATTATTTCACAAGCACTTTCTTGGAATCCATTCTCAGGTGTAAACGGTGAAGTTTGAAGCAAAAATATAACATTTACTTAAGAGTATCAACAAGAAGAACGGGAAAATGCATAAGTACCCCCTCAGCCTATGCCCGAAATCCCTGAGACACACCCAGGAACAATTTTCTCCAAAACTGCCTTCCTAGTTGACGCAAAAAGTAGCCGAATTAGGTTTGTTGCATCTTCATCACTTAATTCAGCTGATAGCTCTTCTTCCAAGAGCATACACGGGATACGTTTCAATCCTGTAAAGACATAATTTTCAAGTGAATATTTTCTTCAACCACGGAACAAACTTAGGGATCCATGATAAGAAGAAGACCCTTCTTAAGTTTTTCGATGAGAAAATAGGAATATAGCTGTCAAATCAATAAAAATAGAAAATGCCTATAAAGGCAAGTTGTAGAAATTACTAGTCTAACCAAACTCCAGATAATTGTATTATAGCATTAATACTAAAAATCCACAGGGAAATACAGGACAAATTCAGAAATTATACAGTAACTTATTACGTCTTCCAAACAAAGTTGAGCCACTAGAAGACTAGGCTCACTG